AAAAAAAACAAAAACAAAAAATTAATGTTGCTGGACAAACGCTCCACACAAGGCCCTCCAAGCGGTAACGCTGGGCCTCAAGGGACCTTTGCTAAACACCTCGTGTGCCTCCGCCACCCATCCTCCCCTCCCAAACAAATCCACCATGCAGCTAAAGTGCTCCCTCGTCGGCACCACGCCAAACTCCACCATGCTCGCGAACACCTCCACCCCTTCCTTGACCAGCCCCGCGTGGCTACACGCCCCAAGAACACTGAGATACGTCGCCCTGCTCGGCTCAAATCCCTCCAAACTCATGAGCTCGAACAGCTCGATCGCCTCCTTGCAATCGCCCAAGTCGGCGTAGGCCGCGATGATCGAGTTCCACGACACCGTGTCCTTGTTCTCGATCCGGACGAACACCCTCCTCGCGTTCTCGATGCTGCCGCACCGCTTGTACATGCCGATGATCGCGTTCTTCACGTCCACGCTCAGCGCCTCGTCACCCTCCTCCACAACGCCTTGCACGAACCTGGCATGGTTTAGATCCGAGGAGCTAGCGGCGGAGTCTAGAATGCTTACCAGCGTGGAGTCGTTTGGCCTCGCTCCTTGGAGATCGAGCAGCGAGAAGAGATAGAGAGCCTCGCGAACTTGGCGGTTCTTGGCGTGAGCCGAGATCATCGCGTTCCAGAGCGCGAGGTCCTGGGCGGTGTCGCTGATCCTCCAGAACACGTCCCTGGCGTCCTCGGGGCTGGAGCACTTCCCATACATGTCGATCAGCGCGGTGCTGATCTTAAGCTCCATCTCCAGCCCGCAATTCGAGACCCTCGAATGAAGAAGCTTGCACTGGGATCTTTCCTGACCGATCTCGCCGCAGGCTTCAAGAACACACAGGAAAGTCACGCTGTCGGGCTCGAGATCCATCGCCGCAAAGAGCCGCAAAGCCTCCTCAAAATACCCGTGCTGGGCATATGCAGTGAGCATCGAGTTCCACGAGATGAGATCCCGCTGGGGCATCTTCTTGAAGACGATCTCGGCCTCTCGGATCCGCCCAGCCATCGCATACGCAGCCATCATCGCATTCCAAGTCACCACATTCCTGTGCGGCGACCGATCAAAGATCTGACGCGCCTCCTGCAAATGCCCATTCTGGGCAAATGCCGCTAGCATGATATTCCAGGAGAATTGATTTCGCCGCGGCAGCTTCTCAAACACCTTCGCCGCCTCCTGCGCGCCGCCGCAGCGCCCATACATCTGGATCAGGAAATTCGCCACGAAGGTATCATCCTCCCACCCATCCTCCGCCACGATCCTGTGCACCCACTTCACCTGCGACAGCGCGGAGCACTTGCGCAGCATCGCGGCGTAGGAATTCGCCTCGCCGCGGCGCCGCCCGGGCGGATCCACCGCCATGCGCGCCAAGAACCCTAAAATGCAGTGTGAGCTCTCGCGGGGGACGGTCGTCCAGCGTGGCATGCCGCGGCGGCGGACACGTCAGCGCGTCCAAGGCGGCAAGGCCCGGCTTTGCTAAGGACACTGTCCTTAGAGCCTCTCCCAGTTGGGAAACCAGTGGAGCGAGAGACACATGTCCATACCAAGGACACGTTCACTCACCCTGGAAGCATGTTGGTTGTTTCTATTGTAGCCTAGAGAGGTAAACTTCGAGAGAGAGCTCTCAATTTCCTCTTAGAAGAGAAAAAAAAAAAAAGGAAAGAGAGAGGCTTTCTTCCTCTTTTTCATGTCTTTCTCCTCGATCTTCCTGAAAGGAGAGAGCACAAAAAGAAATCCTTGCCTCGCGCGTTTATGACGATCTTCCTGGCTTGTAGCGCAAGGCATTGATCGCCGCCGAGTAGTAGTAGCGCGATTCCACTCCGCGAGGTTTGAGCTTTAGAGCGCTTCCTTCCTTCCTTCCTTCCTTCTTCCTCGTCTTCTTCTTCTTCTTCTTCTTCGAGCGAGAGCGCTGGGCTTTGGAGCTTGGACTCTTCTTTTCTCTTGCGCTCTTGGTTGCGCTCTTGCTTGGATCGTCTCGGCCGGCATTGGGTTCTTGTGGGTCATCTCCAAAACCCCTGCATTGCTCTTCTTGCTGGCGATGGCTTCCGCCCTCGAGCAATCCTCCTCCTCCTCCGCCTCACCGCCGGCTTCTCATTCTTCCCCGCCGCCACCGCCGCCGCCGCCGCCGCCGCCGCCGAGAGAAGGCCCGAGCTGGCTGCCGCATTTCCTCACCGGGAACTACTTCTCGCAGTGCCTCAAGCACGCGTCGAGCAAGAACGAGCGCAATCACTTCTGCATCGACTGCGTCCTGGACGGGCCGATGTGCCACATTGGCCTCCAGACCGAGCATGCAAACCACCGGAGCTTGCAAGTCCGCCGCGCGTCACACATGGACGCTGTCCGGGTCCACGACATCCAAAAGTTGGCCGACATCTCCAACATCCAGACTTACACCATCAACAGCGCCAAGATCGTCTTCCTCCTCAGCAGGCCGCAGGACCGGATCGCCAAGGCCGCCACGCACTGGTGCCAGAACTGCAACCGGACGCTCACGGATCCCACTTGCTTCTGCTCCATCAGCTGTAAGTTGGCCGCTGCTCGTATCAATCCCTCCGTCTCCCTGGCTCTTCCGCTTCATGTTCCTGTTCCTTCTCACGGCGAGCTCTCGCAGCATGCACCCGGCACCGCCGCTTCGTCTTCCCCCGCTCCTGTCCCTGTCCCTGCTGGAGTAGCGGCTTCTTCGTCTCCGGCACCACGGACGTCGAGGACTTGCTGCTTCGAGGACGAGCCTGTGCTTGTCAAGTCCATGGCGGTTGAGGGTCTCACGGACGAGCAGAAGATTTCCAAGGCCGGGAAGAAGGCCCAGGTGCCGATCAAGAAGCGCAAGATGGACAGCCCGCGGCAGCAGTCGAGCACCACCGTGGAGAGCGATGGCGATGAGGAGCAGGCCACTTTTGCCGACGTTCCGCCTTCCCCGATCTCTGTGCTCGTCCCCCACAGCCCGCAGCATTCTGGGATATCGTCGCTGGCGGCGGATGTCAACAACACCGTGGAGCCGCTGACGCCGCAGAAGCACTGCGAGTCGCCACGGTCTTCCAAGCGGCGCAGGAAAGGCCAGCCGCAGCGGTCACCTCTCTCATGAACCGGTCGCATGCTCGCGAGTGTCGACGTGAAGATGAAGAAATTGTCAGTGCAGAATGTACAGAGCTGCTTCCTATCGTTCTTCTCTTCTCTTTTTTGGTTTTGTTTTATGTCCCTGTCCCTGTATACAGATCTTAGAAATGGAATGAGCCATTTGAAAATGGCAAGGTACCTGACTGAGAAGTTTCACGTTGCGGCTCTCCTGTAGAACAGGATTAGAAGATAGAGCTGTTCCAACTCTGCAACGCATTCTCCCATCGTCGGACGCCGGGTATCGTCGTCACGCACGCAGCAGTAGGCCAGCATCGCGAATCTCTTGATGGATTCCCACGAGCACGATTCCAACGATATTTCGGGGTCAATTATCTTCTTTAACTTCCTGCTGTCCCGTAAACTGTCTCGCACCTGTGACAGTGCAGGTAAAAAGCCTGACATGAAGCCGCTTGTGTTTAACTTACCTGAAAAACTAAGTTCTGTTTTGTAAAGCTGTGTGCCGAATCCACCGGCCGCCTTCCAGTAAGAAGCTCCAGCAGCACAACACCAAACGCATAGACATCACTCTTCAGCGTAAGCCTCCCTGTCTGCGAGACCACGGATTGGAAAGTGTCTTTGAAATACCAAGTCTTACTGCCGTGTAGTGTGGATCGAAATAACCAAAAGTTCCCAGTACCCTCGTGCTCACATACGTTTTGTTTCCATGCGGAACAAGCTTTGCAAGACCAAAATCTGACACCTGAATCACAAAGAAAAGTAGGACTGCCGTGAGCGTGACGAAGAAACCAGGCCCACCTTCGCTTGGAAGGTCTCATCAAGAAGTATGTTACTCGACTTGAAATCCCGATGGATGATGGGATTGCCAGTCGCAGGTCCAGCGTGGAGGTATTCTAGAGCTCTAGCTGAGCCAAGGGCAATACGAACACGGACTTGCCAGTCCATCTTTATCCGCACAATCCCTGAAAGAGGCAAACTCTATAAACACCAAATTATTGGCAACTGTACTACCATACCGTGCAAGTGTTCTTGAAGACTTCCTTGAGTCATGAACTCGTACACCAGCATTCTCTGCTTTCTATCGGCACAGTAGCCGATCAGCCTCACAAGGCTGGGGTGGCTGAGCCGACTTAGAAGGTCGACTTCCACCCGGAACTCTCGCTCGCCTTGTGTGCCTCGGCTTAAAGTTGGATCCATCTGCTTGATGGCCACGGGCTGTTTCACAGAAAAGAAAAAACTAGAGTGAGAGAAAGGACACCTAGAAGAACTTACAGACCTTTCCAGTTCTCAAAACTCCTCGATAGACACGACCAAAGCCTCCTTCGCCGATGAAGTTATCGTAGCTAAAGTTGTTCGTGGCTTGGAGCATTTCTCTCAAAGTGAAGACCACGGCAGGGATGGCCGCGGGCCTCAACAGTGGAGGAGGAGGAACGTCCTCCCAAAACTCGAGTGACTTTGGCGGCCCTGCGTCGAGAAGCATTGAGAAGAACAAAAAGAAAGAACAAAGAAAAAAAAACGCTTACATGCATACTCATCAGTGCTCTTGGTGCGTTTCCTCTTGCGCCATGCGGTGAGAAGCTTGGACGCCATCGCTGGGCTTCGCAAGCAAAGAAAGAAAAAGATAAAAAACCTCTCAAAGATCGAGAGAAGAAAACAAAAGCCACGGCTTTGCAAGCATCAAAAGAACTGTGTGCTAGAACCCTCGCTTGGATGATCGAATAAGCCAATGAGACAAAGAAAGCCTACCGAGAAAACAAAAACCCCGACTTGGAAGATTGGATCAAGGAAGAACAAGCCAATGCGGGCAGGGAATCCCAAAATTTCGGCCGTGGAAGGGAAGAACTTACCGGATCGCAGCGACTCCAGCGGCTATCGATCCCGGCGGCAGCGCCGATCTTAGAGACGTTGGAAGCGAGCGCCACGGGCACAAGAGGACGAGGCTGCGATCAATGGCCGCGAGGAGGAGGGCGAGAAGGCGCCATTCTTCGCCATTCAAAATCTACCATCACTGCTATAACCCCTAATTATTAGAGCTCTTCTCTCTTCTTCCATCTAGTTCTATTTTTTTGTTCTCTTCCTCGTGTGGCTGGCAGCTCTGACCTCTGCAAAGAGTGGAGAAATTTTAGCTGCGTGGCCGTTTGTCATCACTCCTCGGTTTGATTCTTCTATGGGCATTTTGGAAGAAGGTTTAGATCGCCAAATGCCCAGATAGGGCATCTAGCAATTTAGATATTTCTTCTACTCTAGAGCTCTTTTCTTCCATTCTTTCTATGATCCTTCTGGGTCTTCTTCCTCTTTGGCGTTCTCTTGATCGTTCCCATCAGATTTCCTTCGTGTGATCGTCGCAAAATAGATTCTGACAGCAGAAATCACAGCTCACAGAAAATGCCCAGAGAGGGCATCTGTTCATTACGATCTTTTCTTCTATCTAGAGCTCTCTTCTTCCATTCTTTCTATGCTCCTCCTTGGTCTTCTTCTTCCTTGACTCTTGCTAGATCGCTTCCTTTAGATCTTCTTCGCGTGATCATCGCAGAATAGATCCTGACAAGCAAGAATCCAGACTCACAGCACAAGCACAGAATGGGCATCTGCTTTCTTGATCAAAGATAGCGTTTGGATCGCAAAGAATGGTGCTGGGAGATGCTCAAGAAGCATACCATCTGGAAGACGAAGAAGCCCACCATCGCCACAACCAGGAAAAATGCCTGCTCTTCTTCTTCATCGTCCCGGAAGCACGATCCACTCGACAGCCTCGAGAGGGAGATCCAATCCGACTCCTTCGCCGCCGCGATTCGCAGCTGCAAGGACTCCAACTCAGTCTCGATCATCCACCAAAAGATCACTCGAGCGGGCCTGGGAAGCAGTGCCTACCTCAACAATCTCCTCGTCCTCATGCTCGCCAAGCACGGCAGCCTTTGTAAAGCTCGATCCATCTTCGACACCATCCAGCACAAGAACATCTTCTCCTGGAACATCATCATCTCGGCCTATGCCCACCGCGGCCACCCCTCCATAGCTCTCCACCTCTTCGCAAAGATGGACGTTCCTCCCACGGCCATGACCTTCGCAACCGCCCTCTCGGCCTGTTCTTCGCTGGGAGATCTCCAGAGAGGCCGGGAGATCCATGCCAGGATCAAAGCCAGCCCTGGGATCCGCCCCTCGGTCATTCTCGACACCGCCATCTTCAGCATGTACGCCAAGTGTGGCGATCTCTCCACTGCAAAGTCGGTCTTTGATCGTATCCCGGCCAAGAACGTCGTCTCCTGGAACGCTCTCATCGCCGCGTATGCCCAGAGCGGGCACAGCCACCACCAAGCTCTCGATCTCTTCGAAAAGATGGCGGAGCATGGCGTCCGTCCCTGCCGAGCGACCTTCGTTGGAGTTCTCGGAGCTTGCAGCGATGTCACCGCTCTGGAGAAGATCCATGCCAGGATCGTGGAGACGGGACTCCAGTTCGATGTCGTGGTGGCGACTTGCCTGCTCAACGCGTACGCCAAGCTCGGACTTTTGCTGGCCGCGAGAAGAGTCTTCGACCGGATCGATGGCAAGAGCCTGGTGTCGTGGAACTCGATGATCACGGCTTACGTCCAGCGCGAGCAAAACCGAGAGGCGATCCACCTCTTCCGCCTGATGGCTGTCGATGGTGTTCTTCCCGATCACATAACTTTCGTCGCAGCTTTAAGTTCTTGCAGCAGCCTCGAGGACGGGAGGATCATCCACTCGGACTCGTTGTCTTTCATGTCTCCCTCGATCGACAACGATGCTCGACGCTCGCGTGTCCTTGTGGATACTGCCGCTATCAAGATGTATGCGAGGTACCGCCGGCTGGACGAAGCGAGGAGAGTGTTCGAGAGCATGGAAAGCCGCGACGTCGTTGCCTGGAACGCGATGATCGGTGGCTGCTCGCAGCTGGGTGAGTTGCAGCTGGCGATGGAGTTCTTCGGGAGTATGAGCTCTGATGCCGATAAGACGACTTTCACGATCATTCTCAGCGCCTGTTCCACGTCGGGAGCTCTGGCAGCGGGCCGGGAGATCCACGAGAAGTTCATCGCTCTCACCGAGTACGAGAGAGACCTCGGTGTCCAAAACGCGCTGCTCAACATGTATGCCAAGTGCGGGAGCCTCGAAGTCGCCAGAGATATCTTCCGGAAGATGGAGAGGCGAGACCAAGTCTCGATGAACGTGATGATTGCGGCCTTCGCACAGCAGGGACTTGGCAAAGATTCCATCCAAGTCTTCCGGGAGATGGACCTGGAGGGACTGCCGCAGGACGACACCACCTTTGCGAGCGTTATCACTGCCTGTTCCTGCTGTGGTGCTCTCGAGTTCGGCAAGAGAATCCACAAGAGAGTCGTGGAGCCTGTTCTTGGAAGAAAGTGTTGCCTGCCAAACGTTGTCGTGGAGACCGCGCTCGTGAGCATGTATGGTAAGTGTGGAACTCTGGAGCAAGCCAAGGCCGTCTTCAAAGCCATGACGACGAAAAACTCCGTTTCCTGGAATGCGATGCTCGCAGCCTGTGCTCACCAGGGCCAGGGAGACGAGGCAGCGGCATTTCTGAGAGCAGCAGCTTGTGAAGGAGTGGAGCTCGACTCCGCCAGCTTCATCTCCGTTCTCATCGCCTGCAGCCACTCGGGAATGCTTGAAGTAGCTTACGATCACTTCCAGTTGATGCTGTCTGACTTCGACTTAGTTCCAGCTGCTGAGAATTATCGCTGTATGGTGGACCTGCTGGCTCGATCTGGAAGGCTTGGAGATGCAGACGAGCTCATGAACAGCATGCCGTTTTCGCCGGATGCAATTGCTTGGAGAACGTTGCTTGGAGGCTGCCGGGTCCAGGGAAGTTTGGAGAATGCTGCGTCTGCCGCCGAGCAGGCATTCAATCTGGAGCCTCAAAATACTGCTCCATACACGCTTCTCTCGAGTTTGTATTCGGCAACTGGAAAGAAGGACGAGTTAGTTGAACTGAGAAGCAGCATGAAAGAGAGAGGTCTAAGGAAGCTGGTACCTGGAAGGAGTGTCATCGAGGTCCACGGCAGAGTTCACGAGTTCGTAGCGGGAGACTCCAGCCATCCTCAGACCGACAAAATTCTCAGAGAACTCGACATCTTGAACGTCGAGCTAAAGCAAGCTGGATTCGTTCCAAGCACTGACGGCGTTGTCCACGATCTCAAAACCGAAGACAAGGAGGAGATCCTTGCCCTCCACAGTGAGAAATTGGCGGTTGCGTTCGGACTCATCTCCACCAAGAGCGGCATTCCTCTGCTCGTTCTGAAGAACCTCAGAGTTTGCTCGGACTGTCACGCGGCCATCAAGTTGATATCCAAGTTGAGAAGTCGGGTGATCACCGTGAGGGACGCTAATCGTTTCCATCGCTTCCAGAGTGGAACCTGTTCTTGTGGAGACTACTGGTGACTTAAAGAGTTGGAACCCCCAAGTCGGACCCCTAAGTCCCATATGGCGTCTCTGGTTCCACCGTTCACGGAAGCGACGGCCAAAGCGAAGGTCCAGCGAGCGGAGGATCTCTGGAACACCAAAGACCCCAATAAGGTAGCTCTCGCATACACCCCTGATTCCGTGTGGCGCAACAGGGACCAGTTTCTCCGAGGCCGTGAGGAAATCATCGGCTTCCTCCAGAAAAAATGGGATGTTGAGAAGAGGTACAAACTTCGCAAGCGTTACTTCTGCCACAACGACAACAAAATCGCTGTGGAATTTGAGTACGAATACCTGGACGAAGTGGCTGGTCAGTGGTGGCGAGCTTACGGCATCGAGCACTGGACTTTCAATCAGGATGGTGTCATGGAACGCCGAGATATGTCTGCAAATAACATTCCCATCAGTTCGGAAGAGCGAATGTTCAAGTAAAAGCATGGCAAAGAACGTACCACCCGTTCACAACCTGAAATAACAAAAACGAACACAAACTCGCGAAAGAAAAGCAAATTTTCATATTATTTTGCCATTCAAATGATACACAGATCTAGCTTACCTTGCACATCTGCAAGGAGACACCATCAGCAGCTGAGCAGGATCGGAAACCGCAATGGACTAACCTGACCAACAACGATCTCTCTGGAGCTTCGGACTCCATCATCAAAACCATTGTGTCTTTTTCCTCCACAATTCGGATGCCGTCCGAGCCTTGAGTGTGAAGGATGCCTTCATGTCAATGGCGCTTTAAAAGAGACCTTTTACAGGCCACAACAAGATCACTCCGTCCCTTTGTCAGCGATCTGAAGGTCGTATAACTGACGAATATTTCCGGACCCTGCAGAAACAACATTCTTATTCAAGTCACAAGAGAAAAAGTTCAAGCCGTACCGTATAACCATTCCTTGAAGTGTGCGTGAATTGCATTCGACAGGTCCCGCTTACGATTATCGTCCAGGGGAACATTCTGCAGCAAGTGGCGCAAGTTCTCCATTGCCTTGTTCTGTTCAAAAAAGTCAGTAAAGGAAAAAGGAAACAAGCAAAAAGAAAAACTCACCCGCTGCTGCTGCGCCATCAGATAAAGTTTCGGTAACAAAAACGGATTCGCCCTCGTAAAATTCTGTTCGGATTCTCCTCCGTTCCATCTTGGAATCTGAAAAATCAGTATTGTGAGCAGCTAGCCAAAGGAATCCAGAACGTCATCTTACCAGGAAATTAGTAAATCTATCCGGCGGAACGACGCTGGCACCTTCCGCTTGAGCGTCAGCAACACCAGCAGGATGGGGTAAGGAGTCATGTGGATCGATAACCCCCAATGTCAAAATCTTGTCCCATCTGTTGACAGTCGGATCCACTCGAACTTGAGCAAGATGTGCTTCAAGTTTTGGATAAAACGTGTTGAACGGAGCGACCTGGTAAATACGGTAGAAGCTTTTAGAAAAAAAAAACCAACAATGATATGACCTTTACCTGAAGATTATAGTTATTACCGAGAATGAGTGGACGTTGATTGACACCCAGAAAGAACACGCACTCCCGGCAATTCGCTATACAGATTCTTGCACAGGGCACGATCACCTGGACTCTTTCGCAGTGCTCTATCCTCACGGCCTGCATTCAAACAGAGAATTAGTAACAAGAAACAGTCGATACCACGCTACCTTTCCAACCGCACCAAGGACGACAATGGAATCCGAGCAGCCAAACACAGACGCATACTTAGTTGGCGCCAGAACGTAAACCACCGCATCGTGACAGTTCGATACCTGAAAGAACTATGTCAAGATAAAACTCTGGTGTAAGACGTATAAACCTTCAACGTGTCACCAGTGACATCGCTTTCGCTCTTTATGGTGGATACTTTGGTCACCCCATCAACGAATGTCAGCCCTTCGAAGCACCACTCCCTGTTCTTGGTCACACCATTTGGAACCCATGCCTGTGCCCCGACAGCATCAATCATAGTGATGTCGTTCTCTTCATTCGGCCCGTTTTCTTTGCCTGAACATTTTGTTCGTTGAGCTTGGGTCGAAATGTGCTCCAAAATCCAGTCGTGTGCTTGAGCCAAAGGCACCGGAACAGCAGGCATATCCGGATCAGAACCCGCAAAGAAAGGAGCGGTCTGGCTGAGCGATCTTGCGTTGCATTGCGCGTCAACTGGCCGAAAAATAATTCCGAGACGATCGAAGCTTCCAACTGACAGAACCTTAAGAAAAACATGTCGAATCAGATCAATGGCTTCCAACAAATAGCTCTTGATCATTTTACCTTTGCACCGTCTTCCTCCAGATCGACCAGCAAAGCCAGTAAAGATGAGAGATGCTTCTGGACGAATGCAAGCTGGTGCGCCTCCTCTTCCACTTGACAAGGAACGGATTTTCTTGTAGGCCTAACCTGTCGTGAGCAAGAACACAAGAACACAAGAACTTGAAATAAAAACCAGAGTGCTTGCTTACTTGCAAAGGCGAAAGTGTCGAAAAGAATCCATCAAACGGCGACGTAGAAGGCCAAACGTCTGCTACTGCCGCCGGATCCTTGTGAGAGCGTGGAGGAACCCTCCGATAGATCTGAATATATAGGAAGAGAAGAAGATCGTCGACGTGTGCTCCGACTGTGTCAATCTCCGCTGCATAAGCCCGAGCCAGCTGATCACAGTCGTCTCCATCTGGCAAGACCGAAGCCAGAGTATCCAACACCAGTAGAGCATGCGCCTCCGAAAGTCCCAAGCACTCGACAATCGCAGCAACACCAACGCGTCTGCTTGGCTGCTGAGCCATCGCTGACGAATCCTCGGAAGCATTCGCTCCTCCCGACTGCCAGGATGTTTGCGGGATAGACTTGTCCAGCAGCTTCTCCCGGAGCTCCCGGAGAGACCCAACTCCATCGTGGTGCATCAAGCTCGGCAGTGGTAGCATGCCGTACTCGAATGGCTCCCGCCGGACGTGTAACCATGGCGGCTCCCCCTGTGCCGAAGCTGTAGTAGTCGTCTCACTCTCAACTGTGGCATTCATATCCCTCATATCCACCTCCTCATTCACTAGAGCTTTGCTGTGTTCTTAGTCCCACCTTTCTTCTCTTTGCCTTGTTCTTCTTCTTCCCGGACGAGCCTCTCTTCCCAGAACCGCATTTCCCAATTGCTGCTCCCTAGGGCATCGTTAAGAAACACCCTATCCACGAAGAAATTGCCCACATTACCTAGAGTGACTGAATTCCCACGCCAGGATAGGGCTCCCGGCCACCGAGCTCCCGCAAGAACGAGCTACACTCTCTTCTTGGCTGGCATTTTCGCAAGCGGTCAGCCAAATCGATGCGATTCTTTGCCCCGCGGCTGTGATCGAAGACCACAAACCTTGCCGGCACTGCGAAATCTCAGCCCGGCGATTCAATCGTGCCGCCTCGCCTCCGCCCGCGCCCCACTCCGCGCCACACGCCGCGATGCGTCGACAGCGCAACACTAGGTAAGAGAGGAAACAAGGGTTTCGTTCGTTCTTTTTTCCCGATTTTACCAACAAACCATCCAATCCAACGGACGTCAGTGCCGCCACGTTAATCAACCTTGAAAAATGCTCGAGCCCTAATTACTCTTACCCTTTAGCAAAAATTCCTTGGCATATGCCCAACGTGGGCATCTATAGCCCTAATTACTTTTGCCCTTCCAGATGACCAACTTAGAGGTCAATGCCGGGCTCGAGCAGATCAGGGCAACCAAGACACTCGCCCAGCTCAAGGCCGTACACTCTCGTGTGGCGCACCTCGTCCAATCCAATGTTTACATGGCCAATTTCCTCCTCCAGATGTACGGCACCCGCGGCGGCGTGGAAGATGCCAAGAGAGTCTTCGACGGGACGGCCAAGAAGAACGTCTTTTCCTGGGCACTGATGCTCTCGGCATATGCCCAGAACGGGCATCTGGAGGAGGCCCGGGGTATATACTCGGCCATGCCCGAGCACAACCTGGTGACGTGGACGGTCATGATCAACGCACTTGCCCAGCACGGGCATGTGGACGAGGCCAAGCACGTGTTCGATTCCATGCGGGAGAGGGATAGAGTCTCATGGACGGCGATGCTTACAGCGTTTGTGGACAATGGACGGCTGGGAGACGCCAGGAATCTCTTCGCTAAGATGCCTGAATTGAGCATCTTCTCCGAGACCGCGATGCTCACGGCCCTGGCCCGGGAGGGTCTCATTGACGAGGCCAAGAATCTCTTCGATTCCATGCTCGAGAGGGACATGATCTCCTGGACGGCGATGCTCGTCGCCTATGCCGACAACAAGATGATCGAGGAGGCCGAGCTTGTTTTCCGGACGATGCCCGAGAGGGATCTTGTCTCGTGGAATGCAATGCTTGCCGGGTATGCGCAGAACGGGCAATTCAACGAGGCCAAGCGGCTCTTTGCTCGGATGCGCGAGAAAAACATGATCTCGCTCACAGCAATGGCGTCGGCGTATGCTCAAAATGGGGATTTGGAGAGCACCAAGAAGATCTTTGATCGAATGCCAGAGAGGAGCTTAGTTTCGTGGAACACAATGCTGAGTGCCTATGCCCAGACTGGGCACATAGAAGAGGCTAAAGCCCTCTTTTACGCAATGCGAGAGAGTAACCTGGTATCGTGGAACACGATGCTTTCGGCATATACCGCTTCCGGGAATATCCCTGAGGCAAGGAGCTTGTTTGCTCGGATGAAAGAGTGGGACTTTATTTCGTGGACTGTGATGCTAGTGGCATATTCCCAGCAAGGGCTGGTTGAGGAATCTAAACAGGTTTTCGATGAGATGCAAGAGAGGGATCTTGCGTCGTGGAACGCAATGCTCTCGGCATATGCCATAAACGGGCATATTGAGACAGCGAGGAACCTCTTTGGTGCGATGGAGGAACGTGACCAAATCTCGTGGAACATAATGCTTTGCGCGCACTCGCGCAGTGGGAACCTGGAAAATGCGAAGAATCTCTTCGATCTTATGCGCGAGCACGACCTTGTGTCGTGGAACGCGATGCTCTCTGCATATTCCCAGAATGGGCATCTGGAATACGCCAAGAGCATTTTCGACCGGATGCAAGAGCGCGACAGGGTGTCGTGGAACGCGATGCTCGCGGCATATGCCCAGAACGGGCATCTAGAAGATTCTAAGAAGTTTTTCGATGCCATGAAGGAGAGAGACGCAGTGGCGTGGGGCGCAATGCTCGCGTCATATGCTCTAAACGAGAATCTCGACAAGGCGAAGAGTTTCTTCGATAGCATGGAGGAACGAAGCAATGTGTCGTGGACGGTGATCCTTTCGGCATATGCCCAGAAAGGGCGCGTGGAAGATGCGGCGAATCTCTTCAAATCCATGGACGAGCGCGACCGCGTGTCGTGGACGGCGATGCTTGCGGCATTCGCCCAAAAGGCGAGCTTCGAGATCGCAATGGAGTTCTTTGGCGCGATGAATTTGGCAGCAGAATCACCCGACGAGGCAACGATCGTGTGCGCGATCGCGGCTTGCAGCCACAGTGGCAAGTTCAAGGATGGGCTCGCGTGCTTCCGATCGATGCAAATGGATCACGGCGTGAAACCCACCAAGCAATTGTATAGCTGCGCGGTGGATCTTCTCGCGCGATCGGGGCATCTAGAGGAATCGGAGGAGCTCATCCATACCATGCCATTCGTGCCGGATTCGCTGGATTGGACGGCGCTGCTAGCCGGGTGCAAGAGCCACAAGGATTCCAAGAGAGGAGCTCGAGCGTCGCAGAGAATGGTGGATATGGACGCCAAGAATGTGGCGGGCTACGTGCTTCTCTCCAACATGTACAGAGATCCGACGGTCAGAAAGCTTTCCCTCTCGACGGATGGAATCGTGCCAAGTAGAGCCCTAAAACCCCTGGGCTAGGGTTCTTCCTCTTGGAGAGACTCTGGCGATGTCCGCCGCGGCGCGGCTATGGCGCCTCGCTCGATCAGTGCCGCGGAGCGCAAGCACAGGTCTGTGTCGATGTGATGCTAGAGAATGTGCTGCGGCGATTATCGGCGGGGATCATGGATTGAGCAATGTAGGCCTGGGAGGATTGGATTTCAGGCGCGGGTTTGCGACGACGAAGAAGGGAGCCGTGACGCCCAAGGCCAAGACGAAGAAAGGCCCTCAGGCGGCCAAAGGAGGGAAGAAAGGAGCTGCTGGAGGGAAGGGGTCTGGGAAAGGAGGCGCTGGAGCATCGGAAGGGGGTGGTGGTAGCACAGGGACTGTAGGCATTGAGGATTATACCATTAAGGAACCAGGAGAGATTGCCGAGGACAATCTCTTCACTGGAGCAAGGAAGGTTCACGAGATCACTGCCGAGGATATCAACAAGTACTTCCACATAAGGTGAGTTTCTATTCTTCATTCTTCTTCGAGAAATGGAGACTGAAGACGCTCTCTCTTTTTTCTTTTGCAGTGAGGAGGATGTGACGAAGTACTTTACTGAAGGATTTCCTAAGGGAGTTATGAAAGAATTCGAGATGTCGAGAAGCAGGTTCGTTCGAGTTAGAAGATGCGTTCTTGAAATCATTAACAAGCTCCAGTACTCCGCCACTGGCGAGTTTGCTTTCGTCTCGCCGGAAGTTTTGCCTTATAATCTCGCCAGGGATGCCGTCTTTGTGAAAGCGGATAAGCCGAAAGCTAGCGTGAAGAGCGAGGAATCCGACACAAGTGTTACCTCTGAAGAAGGAGAGAAGTCGAGCGAAGAGGTCCAAGACAAAGATGATACTCATGCGGAAGATGAGGATGAAGAGGCAAAGAAGGACGACGGCATGAAGCTTCATATATCTAGCAAGAAAGATCAAAGTAAGTTTAGGCACTCTTGTGTTTTTTGTCTGACCTTTGTAACATCTCTCAGGGATGAGGGGCTCCAAGCACCACATTCTCGATGGACCTGTAGGATGTGGAAAAAGTTTTGCTCTCGCGGTGATTGTCCAATGGGCTCGTGCTCAAGGTTGGCTTGTTTTTTACGTACCCAGGGGCCAAGAATGGACCAGGGGAGGGTACTATTATTTGAATGAGCTTACTGGACTTTGGGACACACCTATACAAGCTCAGAAGGTTTTACGGGTAAGCATTCACTTGCAGTTTTTATGCTTGTAACTAATTTGCTTCATTTTGTAGGAGTTTTTGGATAGTCATGGCGAAATGCTGGAACAGATCAAGTGTCGTGTTCCGGATCCTATATTTTTGGGTGAAGCTGCTGCGCTTGGTCGTATACCAGGTCCACAAGAAATTACTATGCCGGAGAACTCGACCGTGAAAGATCTTGTGGAAAAGGGGCTTGACGTGCAAGCTGCTGCCTCCAACATCGTTGTGAGATTGAGACAAGAGCTTGATCTCGTCACAGAATTCCCAGTGCTGATCGCGGTTGACGAGGTTGCATACGTGGTTTCAATGTTTTCCTTCTGACCATTCTGGGTCCCTGTTGCAGTTTAACAGTTGGTTTACGTTCAGCGAGTATCACCAATTCCTGGATTTTAAGAAGACTCGTCAAATCCATGCCAAAGAGCTAGGAATGGTTTGTTAACTTCACCTTTCATTTTCAAACCTGATGGTCCTGTCTGACTACAGGTGAGCGCTTTCCGGAGGATGGAAACATCGCGTCAACTCTTTGTTGGAGCCTTTTCACAGTCGACAGCTGTCGGCAAGCTTCCCCTGGAACTTCCCGGAGCTCCGAAGAGGTTTCGAATTGACGTTGCTCGCGCAGACAAGGAAGAGATTCACGCCGCAATTCGATACTATCACAAGTAATGCTGCGGTCTCCTCTTTTCCTTGACATCTTTACAACTGTTGGCTGTTTCTCAGGCAAAATCTGTTGCACAATGAGCCTCAGGAGGATGCCATCAACCGGCTCTTCTTCTTGACCAACGGAAACGGCGCCGAGTTAAGGAAGCTCGTGCGATATATTTAACTGCAAACCTGTCGCGACAAGGTTTGCTCTAGGACAAAAGTTGACGACGTCACCGTCGTTCTGATCGCTCGTATCTGCAGGCTTTTCACGCAATTTTTCACATGGACGAGTTATATATCTCTGGGAATTTATTTGTGTGGGGTCAACTGTGACGCGAGGAACACTACCCTCCGTATTTTTTTTTGGTCGGTTTTGCGCTTCCCAGCGATGGCATCAGGACCACTGGCTCTTGGGAGTAAAATAATGAAAGATTGCGAAGCTCGAGAGGTTTGCTTGTTTCTTCTTTGTATTAAGATCTAACCGGGAATCGTGTGTCGTGTTCAAAGCATTGTTTTCGTGGCGGGCACGTTTCCTTCTCGTATTGTTTCTTTCTTTTTTATTTCGGTTGTTCTTATTCTCTATCTTTAATGCCTGATGGATGTTGCCAGGCTGCTGCTAAGGGGCGACTAGACGCCAACATTTATAAGATTCCGCAAGAAAAACTAAGCGAAAGCGATCTCTCCTCCACCTACAGTTTGCTGGTATGTTGTAAGCTTTCGATTTCTAGTTTTCTTTTTATTCTTTTTTTCTTTTCTGTCCGTAAGAGATTTGATGCCGGGTGGAACTTGAAACAGGAGACATTCTTTTCCGCGAGACAAGTCAGGAGCTTAAAATCTGGAGATTTTCCAAGCGAGCCTATGAAGATCGATGGTTAAGTTGGAAGAACTCCAGGCGATAAGCCCTCGATTTTTTGGCTACACAGGCACCCTTTGTCTCTGGCCGCTCTTAAGCGTTGCCTGTCTATTGGCAAAGTTGAGAGGCCAAGAGTAACTTACACCTTGATAGGACACATTTGTCGAATCTCGCAAACTTTAATTTTTTGATCGAGCTTATCCTTTTACGATGCGCTGTGTGGGATGAATCCCAGCCGTTTAATCCATTGACGGAGCTACCCGTCCTACCGGCCCTTGCCACGTCCCACCATGTTAGATTTAAAAACAAATAATATTTTTGCTATTTATATTTCCCCATGCTGTGGTGCTTCCTAGTCTTCGATCAGGCGCTAGGGTTTGGCCTCTAGGCAGTGAGCGATCGATCTTTGGCGGTGCGTCCCCCGAGAGATCTCTGTGATTGTCGAGAGAGGATCCCCCCTGCGAGCGAGTCCGATTCAAGATTTCGAGGAATTGTGTGCCTGATCGCTGCCGCCCGCATTTCACTCGCGCGAGGGCTTGATTCGAGGCTTCTTGGTGCGAGCGTAGAGATCGAGAGCAGCTATGCAGGCTTGCCTGGGATTGTCCTTGAACCAGGCAGCATGGATGCACCGCCGCGCTCGAGCAACGGAAGCTACCGCTTTGGGGTCAATCTGCTCCAGCCGCTTGAGCTCAGCTGTGCCGTCCTTGTCATGCGCGACCGCCGGACTGAAGGTTCTTCACACTAGTTTTTTGCCCTCGAGAAATTTGGATAGATGGGGCACTGGCAGCAGCCATCTCCAGCGATGGAATGGGGAGCGGAGAATGTACCGCTGCGTGGTCACCATGTCGTCCATGTCCCAAGTGCCAGAGGGTCCTCTTGGACTTTACGATCCTGCATTGGACAAGGATTCGTGTGGGGTGGGTTTTGTTGCCGAGCTTTCAGCCAAGCCGAGCCGCCAGACTGTAAGTTCTAGCTCAATTGGATTGTATCCCGAATTGATG